TATTAATAATAATAATATGAGAAAAATACCAATAAAACACCAATAACAATAACTTTTTAAATTACTATTATTAAAATTATAATACTAAGACTAATAAATAATAATAATAATAATATGAATAATAATAATAAAAAATCGAAAATTATTTATTATTTATATGGTACTGTAATAATAATACTGTAATATCAGCAAAATTTTGAATATATAATGTTAATGCTAAGACTAATAATTAATATTAAAACTAACGGTAATATAAACAACAATAATAATAACTACAATAATAACAGCAATAATAATAACAATTAGTACAATGTAGTACCAGTAAATGACTTGTGGCCGAGTTGACTTGTGGCCGAGTTGATTTGTGGCCGAGATGACTTGTGGCCGAGTTGACTGTAGCCAAACTTTTTGTGGCCGAGTTGACTTGTGGAGAATTAACTTGTGGCCGAGTTGACTTGTGGCCGAGTTGGATCGAATTCCTGGAGGGGCCTTACGAACCTACACCTAGTGGTGGTACACAGCTCTGCTCCAGCCTCCAGGCTAGGGTAGGCTACCCAGGATTAGCTAGCTAGGCACAAGCCTGCCCTTATGTTTTAGTTCGTTAGCCTAACATGAGAGGAACAGTCTCAGTCTACTACTATCTACGACATTTAATTACCTCTACAAATTCATTTTGAAGAAAACATATCTAGGCCTACTGTGCTTTTTAAAAATTTCTGTACAGTACTCTACATTTATTTAGGATTTACAGTGAGAAAAATATCAATAAACTGATAACGCCCTCTATTGATTACTTGATTGACCAATAAGCATTCATAATTTTTTAGGCCATTTTCAAATCTGAATATAGGCCTAGGCGTATGTAGCTGACCATGATTGCTGTGTTTTCCAAAGAGAGGTAGAGTGATAAATATCTGATAATTATAGTACTTTATAAAGTATTCGCAAAATAATTTTAAAATGGCTGTAAATAAACGGTGAGTGAAAGATATACAGCTTTGTTGATGTTTGTTGATACATTTTAAGTAGTTTTTTTCAAACATATTTCGCTATGCATAGGCCTAGGGTAGGGAAGGCCTACTACTACTAAAAATACTCTAGCTAGGCCCTAGGAGCCTAGGCCTAGGCCTACTAGGGCCTAGGCTAGGCTAGCATCTTGCCCGGACCCTCCTCTCATCTCAGAATCAAGCAGTGGATCACAAGAAGCTTTAATTTACCTCCTGCTTGATGTAGCTAAAATAACTTCTCATTTTTAAATTTTATAAATTAGTTAGACTAGGCCTAGGCCTATGCCTCCTATTTCCTAGCCAGCCTAAAATTGCCGTTTTGTTTGGTTTATTGACGTTTTATTGACCTGCTACCCTAAATTAATTATAGTGAGATAGGCTGGGCCATACTTAGCTTGGCCAAGGCTAGTTCAAGGCCTTTTTAGTGTACAGTATTTAATATTTATGACATGTTTTTATGTCAGCCAAAATATGTGCAAGCAAATTACTGTATTACCATGATTTTAAATGTATTTGTATTTTTTAATCAGAGAGAGTATGAAAATGGAAATAGGATCCTGTCTAGATGCAGCTCTCATTCAACTTGCACAAATCTGGAATGAAATTGGAATTTGTGAGGAACAGCGACAAGAGCGACAGGGTGTGGTGATGCACCATCTTCGCAATCTACTTCAAGAAATGGTTGATGAGGAGCAAGAGATGAGTAACCGTCTTAAAAAAAGCGTTGAGAAGTGTCGCCATGAACTAAAAGCTCTGGTAGAAGAACTCGGAGAGGAGGATGTTAGGGTAGGCTAATTGTAACTATTTGTGGTTGTTTTTTATCATCACATCATATGGTGTACTGCAAACATGTTAATTTATGCTGTTTTTTATGGGGCAGTGCGTAGTGGAAAGGTCCATTATTATTATTATTAAGTTTTTTATATTTTTAAAATTAACAAATTGAATATTGTAATCATTTTTATAGCCAGAGGAAGGACTGACTATCCTCCAGCTAGAGAAGATACTTAGATCTCAAGTTGATTCCTTATCGAAAGTTAAGCAGCAACGACTTGATTATCTGAAGAATCTGAAAGACACAGAGCAGGCGCTGTGTGATGCATTGTGTGTCACGCCTTACTATATTCCAACTGGAATAGTACCAACACAAAAGGACCTAGATAAACTTAAGGAAAATATTGCGTCATTGACTGCAGAAAAGGTAGGCCTTAGGAAAGATAAAGTTTCTTGATTTGCTCTATTTTTATTTTCAACTTGAAAACACTTTGATAACACCATTGTAAGAGCACTATTAATGAACAGCAGTATAAATTTTCTGTTTATTTATAGTATTTTTTTTTTATTGTTATCGTTAATCCTAATAAGTTGTAAAATGTTATTAATATTATTTTATTAGTAGTATGTCCTTAAACAAAACATATTTAGAATGGAATAATTGAGGAGCAGCATATTTTATGCAATCTATCCTTAAAGATAAATAGGTTATTTTAAGAAAAAGACCTAGATTCGGGAGTCAGAACCACAGAGTGTTTGCAGCAGCAAAAGATGATTGGCACAAAGTTCACTGGTGCTCCTGCAATACTGACAGGTCTCTCATATTTTGCCCTCTCCCCCCCCCCCAACATACCTGTATGAAGTGCTGGAATTTCTCTAAAGAAACTTTGAGGTAGAGTGAGTATTTTTTTTTTAAATAGGCAAAACGACAAAGCACATTTGCGTCAGTCAAGAAGGAGATAGTAGCTCTGTTTGAGTCTTTGGAACAAGGTCCAAATACATCGTTTGAAAGAGAAGTCGTTTGCGAAGAAGAGGATACATTTCAATTATCTATGGCCAACATAGATGCGTTGAAACAGTTACGAAATGATGTAAGTGAATATATAAAAACATCAAAGATTGAAAATGGGTTACCTGTATCAAAATTGTAGACTAGTCTATAGATGTGTTAAATTAAAATTATTTAATAGATGAATATCTGAGAGTATTTTAAATACAAATTTATATCGCCTAATTTACTTTTTTTCAATAGTTTTAACTGATCAAATATATAAAAAACATGTTTGCTTTATTCATTTTTTTTTTCAGCTTGAAATTACTGAAAAAGAAAATGAAATTTTAGCCCATGAACTGAATGAGAAGATTACATTACTGTGGAAGAGACTAAGGATAGATGAAGCAGAAACACAACACTTTCTAATGACACACAAAGGCCACCAACCAAAGACACTTAAATCTGTAAGTCTGTGCTATATAAATCTTTATTTTTATTGTTTTTCAATTATATTCATAATTGAAAATGACCAACATATGTTACATTGTAAGCAAGTCATGTTAGCATTTTTATATGTATGCACGTTTCTTAATAAACAGTAATTAACTTGTTTACCTCCCTCCCAGCTGAAAGAAGAATTGCAAAGACTGGAACAACTAAAGAAGGAGAACATAAAGAAAGTGATAGAAGAAATGAGAGAAGAGTTAGCGTCATGGTGGAATAACTGTTTCTTCAGTAGAGAGCAGAAACAAGCTTTCACGCCAGCATATGATGGTAGGAACTTTGACAGAATTCAAATGTGGAAATTGAATAATACCATGATTTTTCGCCTTTTTAAAAAATAATCAAATAATATGACAATGATTTTTCATCCTGAGGATAAAGCAAAAAACAGTTTTTTTGTTTTGGCCAAGCACAGTGAAATTTGTGGGAAAATTGTGTTGGTTGCTTGGGAGTTTTAATTAAATTACTTTTTTGTTTACATTGTCCACCTCAACCCCATAGTTCAGTGCCAACCATCCATCTCCACATGAATTTTGGTTGACAAAATGGGAACCACAGCGTGTTGGATGGTTAAACTAACACTAGATTTCAAAGCTTTAAGTCAGTCAAGCTTGGGCAACTAATTTATTTTCTTTCGCTTTCAGATAATTACACCGAGGAGTTACTTGAATTACATGATCAGGAAGTCGCACGAGTCAAGAGTTACTATGAAGAAAATAAAGAAATATTAGAATCTATCAAGAAGAGAGAGGACATGTGGAAAAAGATGTTGGAGTTTGAGGTAGCCCATTCAATATGCCAGCACTCATACATTGGCTAACCTTCAATTCCAATGTTTTCACCCATGCAATAATGCTTTCAGGCACCATGCATTAATATTTTAGTTAGATGGTCTCTCTATTTACTGCTTTATTCATTAATACTGCTATAACATCTATAAAATCTTATTAACATACTACACTTTACCATTATTAGTACTGCAAGATATTATATGCACACCATCAGTGATAGGTACTAGCGCATTAAAAAGCACAATTAATATTTGTATTAGTAGTAGTAATAATATTATATTTATAAACACCAATATCCTAAGTGGTTGGCTGGGATTCAAAGCTCAACACAGACCAAACCATAGCTCTATACAGTAATTGAATTGCAAAGTATGATATACCTCCTCGCTTGATGCTTAGCATTTTCATTGCATTAGATTGCTATAGGAATAGTGATGGGCTAGAATGACTTTTTTCCTTATGTACAGAGAGTATTTGTAATAAGATTATCCATTTGTCCTTACTTAGGTTTCAGTTCGGTTTTAGTTTGTGTTGATAACATAAATCATCTAAAAGGGTGGGGGGCGGTATATTCCTACGTTTCACACAACTAAACCTAGACTCTTCAAGTACACCATAGCTATTGATTTATGGTCGTAACTCAAGGAATCAGTAGTCTTGGGGGAAAATGAATTGGATGAGTGGGTATCCATAAGGAAAAGGAGGTTGTACAGAATCCCCGGGGACAAGGAGTAGTGGAACCAGTATTACTGAGGACAGTGATTAAACTTGACTAGCACAATAATATCACTTAAAAAATAAATATTTTGAATTTCTTTTCATTCATTTTGCATTCCTTTCACTTTAAATAGACCATTTATTTTAGTGCATGGTGCCTCTGATATATTCCCCACAGTACAGGAGTAATCATGTATCACCCTTGTGCTGTGGGGTGTATGACAAGCTATGAACAAGAGTAATACGCAAGAATAGCATTAACCATCATATTAATAATTCATCTATCTAATAACCCTTTGTTGATTTTATATTATGTGTAGTTGAAGCCATGTCTGAAAATGTATCATTATTTTTTGGATATGGTGATTATGTTTTTCAATAACAGTATTATTATATCTGATAAATATCATGTCTTATACTCATTTTATAAATTCATTATTTATAATACATTTCATTATCATTTATAATACATTTTTTTTAAAAACTTTTTTTATATATTATAATTATACTGTAAATTCCTGAGGTATGTTTGGCACATTAACAAATGCACATATCATACCTGCACTTGAAGGGAATACATAGAGGTCTACAACAAAATTTCATTCACACTTTATCGAAAGGTTAAACCAAATGATTAAAATTGTTTATACATAGTAGTAATTTCAAAAGGCCAATAAACCATAAAAAGAAAACTGAATTTATATTTTGATATAAGCAATGTGTAATTATCATTGTTAAGTTCAAACTACAGTACAGTATTATATTATTACTGATGAATATTTATGAGATGGTTGAATTTCTTTCCTTGCATATTAATTTTGAGATCCTCTCTCGTATTGTAATATTGTTCATGTATTGCATTTGTTGAATATGCTAATTTTGGTTAATGAGATAACAATTTGATTCTATTTTGTAGCACAAAGCTAATGACCCTAACCGGTTCTTCAGTCGCACTTGTAACCTACTGCAGGAGGAAAAGACAAGGAAGAAACTCAACAAAGAGTTGCCTAAAGCAAGTTATTCTGTATTTTTTTTATTTACTATTAGTAGTAATAAAGTATCTGTGGGTTGAAGATTGACCAGAATATAATCGGTATTATGAACGTCGATTTCTACAAATGGTCTTATATCTTGTATTTGTATTTGACATCGGGAAGGCTAGATGATCGCGAAATGCATGTAAACAACACAACTCAGCGATCTAAAGAACACGGTAGAAAGGTCTATAAAACATACAAAAGTTTTAATAAGAATTAAAACAATATTTTATTAAACAGGAGAATACCAGCGATTAGAATAATTTCGTTTTTGTCAAAGATAAATTTAGCTAGGCTCTAGCGCGGTGAAGAATGCTGCTGCTGCACTGTCGGTTCCTGCTAGGCCTGGCTGCCGTCAGCTTATCGGCGCTTAATGGCAGAGTATAGGCCTAGGTAGTGGAAACTGACGCCTGAGCGAGTTTACAAATTTTTAAATTTACAAATACCCTTTTGGTACCAATGGGTACGTAAAATGGACATCTTACTGTAAAGCGTTTTGGCCCAGCGATTGAGGTTCAGACTCTCAACCTGCATGGTTTGGGGGTTCGGAACTCTCCCTGTGCAAGTCACTTGTGTCCTTGGGCAAGGCGCTTTATCTGCGTTTCTCCAAGGAACCTACCACCATATGCTGGGAAGCTAAGCAGGCTCACTGGGAAAAGTGGTGATCCCTTCAAAGCATTGCACCGTCTGGCCCAAAGGGATGGGCAAACAACCTAACCTGTATGATATCTATATCTGTACATGATCAAGGAAGTCAGCCAGAGCCAATAAAGAATGTGATTGCTGTTATGCCATTCACCAAAACAGGATGACTAAACACAGATATGAAAGGAAAACAAATAATAAAGAATGTAACATAGAGGAGTTTACAAATTGAAAAAAAAAAAAATGTGTGAGACTTGATTGCAATAGATTGTTGAGGAATATTGATTAGTTAGATCAATTTCATTTCATACTATAAACCATGCAACACTGTTAAATTAAGGGACTCAAACAATACTGGTTTTATATTTAGCATAATTAGACTGAAATGAAAAATCCCAAATATTGTGGCAATGCTTTCTGTTAGAATGTATTTGTGTTGCTTTGGCCTACAACACAAAAATCACCACTTTGATGACTGCAGTAGTAATTATGTGTGTAAAACTTTTCCACAGAAGCTTAAATTTCCCCCTTCCCAAATAATCACTCGCCTAAACAAAAGTAAGTGTTTAGCTCAGTGTTTTTAGCTCACCTGCCATTTTCTAACAACAAGCCCTGGAATTTTGAAGATATTGAAAGTGAAAGCAAATTCATAAATGATTTAACAGATATGGAAACATATCTTTATTATTCGACTTAAATTATTATTTTGCACTTTTTACAGCTTGAGCAACAACTTTCTGAACGGATTACACAGTATGAGGAAGAAAAAGGCAAGCCATTTCTAGTGGATGGTTGTCGGTTCATGGATTATGTACAGGCCCAATGGGTTGATCATGAAAACGAGAAGCAAATTCAGAAGGAAATGAGGGTAGGTGATGTGACATTGTGGAGTTACCATGTCATACATCAATGACAAACTTAATTAATACAGTAAATAATAAAAATAATTGAAATTTTAATGATTGTGTTAGAATGTGTTGATTTTTTTAATGTTCTTATGATTGTGTTGGAATGTAACATTATTTTTGTATTTATAAATAATTGGATTAAAATGTTTTGTCTTTGTTTCTAATGTGTTATTTTTTCCGTTTTCTCTGATTAAGTGAATTGCAAAAATTAATAATTTTATATATTAAAAAATACATATACGAGCCTTCTTGGTACAGAATATTTAGGAATACAACTGAGTCGAATCCTGTAAATAATATCAAGATTTTTGGCCAGCCATGGCTTGAAGTGTCCCAAAGTTATATAATACAGTGCTTCACAAAATCTTCAACATGTACTTGATGTGTTTTTTTTGGAGAGGAATGTAAGTTTTTGTTGTTATATTGCTGCATTCTACAGATGAAAAATAAACAGAAACAGACTCAAGAAGAGATGACATTTGGCAGTAAGCCTAGTACACCATCTGCAAAACGTAGATTCATGGGCACTCCTAACAAGACACCAAACAAGAAACTCCGTGGGGTATGTGAAGAAGTTATATCTTGGCTGGAGGCTAATTACCATTGCTCAAAAATGATGACTGAACTTTGTAAAATTTGAAGAATTTACATTTTTTTGTAGAATATACGATTTTAATGGTACTTTGAAATCATATATATTATTTATGTTGTTGTCATGTAGTTTAGTCCAATGACTTGGCATCAATTTTTTTTTAAGTACTAATTTTTTTTTATGATAACTAATAATAATTGCAATTCATAAAAATATATAGAAATCTAAGACACTTCTTACAAGCATTTTTTCAATATAACAGTCAACATATAATTGAAGATTAAAGAACACATCTTACAATAGTAGATAAATTCTTTTAGACATCTTTGAATATTTACATATAAATAATAATAGCATTATGCCATTTATATTTCCAATCAGATCTGAGTATAGAAGTATCTTAAATTGAACTTATTAAATTGAATATAATAGAGTCTTCCACTTTTTTTAAAAAAAACAGATGAATGGAGGTGTTGCACCATCCCCACGGTCTTTTGCCTCATCAAGTATAATGCCTTCACCCTCAATGAAACGTCCTCCAAAAGGAACAAATATGAATACCACAAAGGTAACTCCTTTAAACCAACAGCAAATGAAGTGTGTATATAAGGTTTTGAAACACATCAATAAATAGATACATAGGTTTTTGTCTCCTATAGTATCTGAGGTTCCTGGGTTCAAATCCCTATATGATTGATTTGCTTACATTTACCAGATATTTCTGGGTATAAGTCGACCCCCCTCCCCCCACCAATAGCAAAAGTCAGAGCTTGTGAGCCCAACACTGGGCCAAGCTAGGGCCTAAGTAAGTTAATTTTTTTGGACTTGCACACCTATAGGGCAGGCTACCTTTTGTATATTTGCACCTATTGTTAAATCATTTGTTAAATTGCATGTTCTGTAAACTTCTGTAGGCACTTAGAAATAAGGCTAGCCAATCAGGACACACACCTCTGCACATACCATTTCCATCTCCATCAAGGTCGTCTAGGTACACCAGCACCATAGTGAGTATTAGCTTGGGGTGGAGTTGAGTTGGCAGATAAAGTACAATAGAGGGTGGATACTGTACAGTAACATGTATTCTCCATCCATTATTGTAGTAGGTTAGGTGCCAAGGATTGCTTCTAACAATGATAGTAGAGATGATATAAGAGGGTGGATATACTTGTGAATTAATAAACAAGTGCAACACATAAAGTTACAATTAGTTTCTAGGATACTTTATGTTATGGTTTAGTTTATGTGTTTTTGTTATATCCCATCCATTTTATTTTTTTCTTCTTTAAATGGTTATATGTGGTATACAATTTTTTTTTTTTCAGACACCAAAAAGGTTTCGCAATACACATTCACGTATCCAGCGACGTGCACTAACAGATAAGAACACACAGGACGTAACACTAAGTACAACAGCATTGAGCAGTGGTAGCATCGTTAATCATGCAAATTTCTCCATAGCATCAACATGCACCTCGTATTCTGATTTCACGGTAGGTACTACTACTTGCATCCCAGTAGCATATTTTGTCCAGTTTTACCACGGTGGAATGCTCTCATATTATCTGTTCAGTTTACATCCTGCTTTTCTTCCTTTATTTATGTTAGTTTTATATTACCGTAAATGCTTGAATAAGTGCCGCAGTGCTTATAAAATTTTTATAATTGTTGAATACTGGCAACCAAGTCAAAATAAGAAAACTCTGGTGTACATTTTTTAAAATATAGTAACTTCTTTCTTTGAGTAGTAAAAACGGGACATATAGTAATGCAGTGTGGTTTCTATACTACTTCCACAAGCACACATTGGATCAGACATTAAACCAAACATATACTGTACCTAATGTATACATAATAATGTAGTGTAAAATTTGTATTTTTTTTTAATGATTTAAAAATGCTGCTTATATCTTTGTAGGACGTTTGCCAAAATCTCACATGACATGGACACTGAATGAGATTCCAGTCATTTTGCCTCTATTACAAACATTTTATTATTGTATTGTTTGTTTTTATTTTGAATCTATTACAGTAGAATATCAATAGTTGAAAATGAAGTGACTGGTACTTTTATTGTTTTTTAATCGTTGTTATTGCTATTATTATATTTATTTATTTATTATTGTTATTCTTGGAATCATTCATAGTCAATTTTAACTACATAGGTCCAGATGGTAATTTCTTTGTAATGTAGTATTTAAAAATTAAATTTTGACCTTGATTTTATCTCTTATGGTATCTTTCTATTAACTCAACAATCCAATTCTGAATGTCATCTATTTTCTAAAGTTATGACATTAAAAGAGTATCCGTATTCCAACCCCATTGATCATAAACTTGTGATATATTACGCTGTGCTTTAAAACACATGCATCAAATTCATTCTATTCTTCTGTTGACCAAAATAAATCACTATGTTCCCAGGTTAAATAAAGCTTTCTGCATCATATATTTCCAGGTTAGCCAAAGCTTAGTGCAATATCATGCACTGCATTTAATTAATGCTAGCATCATCTGCTTTTCACCTTTTATTTCATTATCTGGAGCAGGTTTATTGAGTGTCTACATTCATTTTCCAAAATAGATGTTTTGAATTGAATTGAAAAAAAACCTTTAAATGTGGTTATTTTGCAACCCAACAGCATGGCTTACGAGATGCTAACAGACCATATGCTAACAGCAGTATACTCACAAGTCCCAAACCGCTGAAAATTTCAACCAAAACAATGAATATTTAAAAAGGCACAAGATAAACAGGTGGTGGACTTGCATCATGTGGTAGGATCTCTATCTATTTTTGTCTTTGTTTTGTTGTTGTATTGTGCTAATCACCTGACATTACTAATTCCATCACCAATGTTTTCACATGACTCTTATTCATCCTTCCATGCTTGTTAATATAACATCCTTAGCTGTCCATTCATTGATTGGTAATATTTTATTTTTAGATGAGTGTTCAAATTAATTTAAATTAAATTTAACACCATAATTAGCCATGTTGATCATTTGAAACCTTATGATCAGTGACATATCTAGGAGTTTTGAAATGGAAGGGGGTGCGAAGTGAGGTTGGGGAGGGAACAAATTGGGGTTGGAGGGGCCTCAATGATTTAATGAGAGGCGACGTCTCTCTTGCAAATTAAGTTGATGAGGTTAATTTTATATAAATGAGCGTGGCGTTTTTTTGCTTTGGATATTTTCGATGGGGGAGGGGCAACTGGGGGCACAAGTGTTTTTTAGGGTGAGTGCTCCTCGTGCACCCCCTAAATGCACCACTGCCCTTGATGAGGCTTGGGAAGTTGGCTTTGAAAGGATGCAACCAAGACCTTGGAATTGGAAGGCAGGTATCATTTTTAACCGCCAAGATAAAGTTCCACTTCTCCATGCCTTATACAAGATTTGGCAAATTGATATAGATTTTAAAAATAATTTGCCTACGTAATGTTTATATATGTTGTGTGTCTGATTATTATTATTGTTTTGTGATTTTGTACCTATATCTGATCCTGCAACATTTCAGCACTATAACTTGCCTCTCAGATATTTAGTCTAACTACAAAATATAATTTTTGCAACAGAAGTTAATCAGAAACATGGTTATTGCCTTTGAAAAATTAAAAATGTTAAAGATAAACAATGGTACTCAATACTACACAGCTGGGTAAATTGTGCTTACAACATTTCATTTCACTGTAAACCGCAACTCATTGCACTTCCTTCTAATCATCGTCATATGACAAACACAGTCGGACGTGAGGTCATGTTGTCATTACCCTCCCAATGAATTTGATTTCCTTTTTCTTTCAACAAAATTGTTTCTTTACAACTAAAGTTCATCATAAAATAGAAGCAAAGTCTGTCTACACTCTGAAATTTTATGTGACAAATACAGTGATTTTCTGATATATATGTGATATGATGATAATCGCATGCAATATAAAGTGCAATCACACATTTGTCACATAAAACTAGTATGGGCAGAACATTTTATTCTACTGTATTTGATAGTGATCCCACACTATTGGATTATATTTTTCTAAAAAAAAGTAAATTTTGGGAACCATTTTCCCATTCAAATCAGTTTCCCACAATTTGCTTACACTTAAAACATAATTTTGAGATCTTGGATTGTCCTAATGTTGATAAATCTCTCCAGTACTTAGCAATCAATTTACTAATATAAGCTTCAAACTCATTCTCTTAGCTGTTTCTTACATTCTTTTTTGATTGCTGTTTCAACTGATATACTGTAGCTTGGTAGTTTATGTACGAACATTTGCTAAGGTTCACTCCCCCGTTTCCATTATAAGCTAGCTGATTTAGTTACAGATTAGCTGTCCAAGACGGTGAAAGTTTACAAATTGCTGTACTTTGCTCTGCCTTGCATAGTTAATGTATGAACATCATCATTGCTAATAATAAATATCCACTCCCCCTGTACTTCTAATTGCATTATAGGAGGTTAACTGGTGCAGGTCACATCTTGGCTGGCCAGAGCAATGACTATTTGATATTGCTAAAATTTACTCTCTGTTTGCACAATTCATTTGCAACACAGCCGACATTTGCATAATTAATGTATTAATGTTTTTTGTTGTTGTTGAATTCACTGCCCTGTCGCTACTCACAATGCTTTGCAATGCTGGATCACTTAGTCAAAAGCTTGGCTGTCCAGGGTAGTTAGGCCTAATGTTATGTTGCTATTACACTTCACCACTTCTCATAATGCTTTGCTATGCTGACTGTCGAGGGTAGTTAATGTTACGTTGCTATTACACTTCACTTCTCTAGGGAGTACATCAGTGATTGTTATTCTATAACAGTTGCTCAAAAATGATGGCAAAGAAGATTATTTGTTCTTAATTAACTATCAGTTTAAATTTTAAAAACCTACGAAAGCATGACATACACTTCTTCATTTAAATTCTTAAAAGAATCCTTTTGCACGTGCACAGTGGCAGACATGATAATTTATCTGTTTTTCTCCTAAATTTTATTGTCATTTTCTTGGTTAATAATTTTGTAACCAGATATTATTTGTTCTGTATTTTAGATGTTTTTGCAGATAATATTTATTATCTGACAGTTAGATTTTTTTTCCTTTGTAATCTATGGTGAAATGATTTTTTTAAATACCCTTTTTTAAAATACCCTTTGTTTTGTTATTTTACAGAGAGCATTAAACTCCACGAACAGTTTGAACAAACGAAGCAGTGCGATCCCTTCTAGCCCATCCCATGCAAATCAAAATAAGTACTACAATCGAGTTGCTTATATATAGAATGATACAAGTTTTTAATTAGATAAATAGTTATTGTTTATAAAATTTCACTCTTCTGAATTAAAATCTTGTTAAAATGTTGGTTTCTTTTTAATAGGCCAATTTGTAGATTTGAGAATTACTATTATTGTGGTGGTTTTTGCTTGCAGAAACTTAATTTTTTTTACTAAAATTTACATTTTGGGTCAAATAAAACTTTTAATGATATTACATACTACATGAATGCATGCTTAATATTTAATGGGATTCATTAACCACTGCTTGTTTACATTTTATTTTGTTAGTATAATGGTATTTTGTTTTATTTTTTTTTTTCATTTTGGTGCCTGATGGTGATAGCTAAAATAAATGGTAAACTGAATAATTATAAGTTTTTTTGATTTATTAAATAAATCAGGGTTTTATATAATAAGGTCTGTGTAGGGGGTGAGTGTTAAACTAAGTGGGTTTTAATAGGAGTATCCTGTTTGCAATGCACGATTTCTGGCAGTCGTGCATTTTGTGTTGCTAAATGTTTTATTATATTGATCGTAAGTTATCCCACCAGAGGCCATTTTCATATGCATGAAGTGTTTCAATCAATACCACATTGCATTTTATAACATCAAAATCTATTGCTTGTAACACATTGGCAATGGCTTTTGTATCTTGACTAACACAATATTAAGCCTAGTAATACATATCTAGTTTGTAGGAATTATTAGTGTTTTTATTTGACTAGATCAGGAGTGGACTAGCAATGCAATGTGCCTTTTGCATATAAGGGACATGTTGTCTGGGTCTATTTAGTTTTGTTTGTGTGTATTTATTATTGCTATTGATAAACTCAACATGAACACATTAAAAAGCAGTTTTATTTTGCAAAATTTTAGGCCAAATTAAAAAAACAAAAAACAAATAAACATGTTTCTTGTTGCCTTCTGTATTCTTTTTTTTTGGTGGGGGTTGCCTCTTTTTTTCCTGTTTACTTTCACAAGTGTAAAAAGAAAGTCCTGCAAAAACAATGCAGCATAATTTGTGTGCATGTGCCAAAGCCTTCCATATGCCTAGATATGCACAGTGTGTGTGAAGTGTGGATATTTGTGTGCTGAGGCCTGGTTCATGCTGAGATATGCATTGTGTGTGCATCTATTAGACCTAGATATGAAGTGTGTGTTAGGCATCTTTGTAGAGAAAGAAAAATAAAAATTCTCCACAAGAAACACATTTTTTTTTTTTTAACTTGGCCTTATATTTTACAAGAAATCTTGCCTTAAGTCCTTGAACAAATTGTCCTCATTGAATAATTTTGTAAGATATTAGAATATAATTTCATTTGTGGATTTTAAAGCTGGTATTTGCGTATATGTTGTGTTTTTTAGCTACTGTGTCACAAAACAACCCACAAAATAGAGAATTTGTAAATATTGTACTTTCACTAATGATCAATAAAAAAACAACTATTAGTAGAAAGGTTATCAGTGTGTTTTGTATTATGAGCCAATGGAGATTTTGAGTAAAATGTGACTTGATGGGAATGCTTTACAGTCAGTGCCTAATGCGACTGTGGACAGGGGCATAAGAAAGACACCCTGGCTAATTCTTTTTCGAAGGAAGGAGGCTGGGATACTCTAGAGCCCAGTATTAGCTCCACCCACTTTGGTGCTTTTAATGTTTTGAGGGCATATTTGAAATTTCTTTTACATATTTTGCTCCTTAAAAAGCTCTGTCTGGAAGATTTGGTGCAAAAAATATTGCTGATGGTATCCTGGAGGCCCCATAAGGTCTGTGTCCCCTGGCTTTGTAAGGATAATGATTTTTTTTCACGCCATGATTTGCTGTCAATAGACTACTGTAAATAATATGGTATCAGAGAGGACTGATTGCAATAACATTGGATACTCTTAATGATTTATTATAATTACATCCTGTATATGTGAGGAATCTTGACTGCAACATAAGGCCAAATAAAAATAATGTGTTGGCCACGCCCGACCGACCCAAATTTTACAAAATTCAGGGTCGGCATTTTAGTTTTTTTTTTTTTTTTTGGGTCGGCATTTTATTTTTTTTTTTTTTTTTTTTTTTTTTTGACAACAAGGAACAATTTTTTTTTTTTGATGAGCTAATAAGGCTGGAATAGCCTTGGACTAGGCTAGGGGCCAAGGCCTAGTCTATTTTAGTGCATGGTACGCGATGCGAATCCAAAGTTGTATTATTTGTGTATTTTCTACTTTTTAGGCGTAAACACATTTTTGGTTAAAAAAAAAAAGTTTTCCTACTGTTTTCCTACCCATTTTTTTGGATTTTCCCAAAACACAATTTTTTTTTTTTGGCCTAAACAAGCATACTTGTACAGGTCATCACTTTAGATCTTTCCAGACTAAAGTAGAGGCTTAAAAAAACCAACCAATAAATGCAGTATAATTTATGAATAAAAAAAATATAGTTTGGGGGATACATTTGAGATGTTTTTAGATGTCACATTCACTACAAACGAGCCACCAAAAAAGTATCAAGAAATACAGGGCCTATCTATCAGTTGCCTGAAGTTGTGAAATTATTGCCTATAATAATTACTGTGAACTATCTATTGAATGTCGAAATACAGTGATTATTGCGTGGGATTCCTATACAATGTAGTCGTTTCCAAATGCATACTTTGAATAACAATGGGATGTGGTTTTGAAAGATTGTATTATTGGCAGTACAAGTCTCTAACCATTACTATTGTATTTTGTACAAGCTACTTTACATTAATGAGGGGCAGGCAGGGAGGTATGCTTTGATGGAACACACACAACATTTAGATAGGCCTACCTAAACCATTCTTACCTGTTACATTTGACCTTATTTCATACAAAAATTATTACATTTTATGTAAGTTTAATTATTTATATTTATAAAATTTATAAAATTTCTTTGATTTTATTAAATATTAAAAAAAACCCATTAAATTAGATATTTTTTCCCCAAAAAATTCACATATCTAGGGTTTTGATAAATTTGAAGGGTTTGATAATTTCTGTGATTTTAATGTTTTATGTTGAAATTCTGTTGATTTTTTTTAGTGGAGTAATTGTAATAAATAATATTATTATGGCAATTATTTATTCATCGTCATTCCAATAAATCATTATACATTAATACAGTAGTTAAAAGAAAAGGTGTAGACACACTTCTAATTGTCTACAGATCAGGCAAACATAAGTGATTATAATAGTTTGTAAGCTGATTTCCTTAAAGTAGAAATTGCAAATAAATCCTTTATCAATATTGTTATTTGATAACAAATTTCTGCTGGTAGCCCTATGGCTTGATGAGAATCAAGACAGTCAAAATAACTGAATGCCAGCACTACTACTACGGGATGGAATTGATCAACAAGGCTGCGACTCATGTTTTCCCTTTTAAAAAAAATTAATCTACAAAACAGCATTGAGTATAACACTGCTTAAATAATATACACATATGGTATAGTAAATTTGATGACATAATTAATGTCGAAATATTGAATCCTAACACGATGGCGTGCATTTCGATACTTGGAGTAGGTATTATACTAACTTATCTGAGATTAATCAGTGGACCTTTCGGTTTTATAGTAAATTTGGTTACATACTTTTCATTAATGTTAATTTCAATTTTTTCTGTATTTATTATTTTCAGATTTTTAAAATAAAATTGTAAATTAGACAAATTAATAAATGTTATAGGTCAAAGTTTAATGAAATATGAATATTCACAACTATGATGGTTGCCTTCCAATCTCAAAATCTGAGATCAATCTTTGCAGGATTTTTCAGTCATCTTTGTTAACTTCAGGTGGTCAGTGGTCTATCTGGTGGGGCACCACCATATGTAGGAAAGGCATCACACACAAATCTATATTTGACTCAAAATTCAGAAGAAAAATTCCACAAAACACAGCTCAGTTCTCATTTTTCACCCCTCCCCTATACCATTCACTATCCCCTTTTGGATTTATTTTAATAATACCAGAAACTACTTTAATTATAAAACTGAAAGGAATTCCTCTGCTTGTTTAATGTTTTGAATAAAAATTTTCATATGACTTTTTAGTTTTCTTCCTCTTTCAAACAGTTTGGAACACTCCACTCAATGTGCCCGTCTGTGTGCAATGATTGCAAAAACAGAATGGCAATTTACTTCACTGTAGTAGAACATTGCAGTTATCTTATATGTAACCATGGACCTAATAATGACACAACCATATCAAGCGCTACTGAACTTGGTAACAAATGAATGATGTAAACACAAATAAGGAAATTATCGATTGTAACTTTGGAAAAACCCAAATCACTTTTTGTATTTCGTAAATTTCATAAGCAAACATTACCGAAAGTGATTAGTTTTTTTAACATCCTGGGATTTCCCAAATATTTCTGGAAGTCCCATATCTTACATTAAAACATTTAAAATTTTGGCTGGGCTTCTGAGAAACTGGGGTGGTCATAGTAATGACACCCAGTGGCAGATTCAAGGGGACCCCCCCCTTTCCCCATACAAAAAAAACAAAAAAACTGTAGAACATTGCAGTTATCCTATATGTAACCATGGACCTAATAATGATGCAACCATATCAAGCTCTACTGAACTTGGTAACAAATGAATGACGTAAACACAAATAAGGAAATTATCGATTGTAACTTTGGAAAAACCCAAATCACTTTTTGTATTTCGTAAATTTCATAAAGCAAACATTTCCGAAAGTGATAAGTTCACTTTTCATTAAAACATTTAAAATTTTGGCTGGGCTTCTGAGAAACTGGTGTGGTTATAATAATGGCACCCAGTGACAGATTCAAGAGGAACCCCCTTTCCCCATACATTTTTCAAAATAAAAAAAAAAATGGGAAAAAAATCTAATTATACTAAATTTTATATTATGAAAAGGTGATGTTCTGAATGTAAATTATACCTGAATGATATTAATTCAAATCTGAGATTGCTATTTCCGGGGCACCTAGAAGTGCGATAATCATAGACCCTCCATCTGTGAAAGTTTCTCCCAGCCCCCTCTCCTATTTCAAATTCATGGATCCACCACTGGTACCAGATACAACATCCATTATCCCAGCCTAAATCTCACACAAGAGTTATTCAAGGAGCTGTACGGATTTATCTCAAATTAAAAGCAGATGCTGGCCAGCTGAAGAGCAAGAAGTAGGAACATTACTTCTCTAAATGTATTTATTATTTTATGAACAAAAAGCCACTTAATGGTTATACAGTACCTTGCTTCGCGAACGTACTATTTGACAGATTGTCTTTTGTCAGAGGAGGTCGGAAAAAAAATAAAATTTTGTTTTCTTTCCTGTTTAGCAAATGGTTTTGCAAAAACATCCGGATGGAGGAGAACAAACCCTCCAAATCTAGTCTTTGTGAATGGCAGAACTATTGTATGTTAGGTGTTCCTTTATTTTTTTCTTCTCACCTTTTTGTCACAATTTTATTGGGCATTTTTTCCTTATTTTTTATGATCAGCCTGTCTTTTGTCTTTGTGCAATATTACATCTTTTTTATGCTCTTGGGTTGTTTTTATTATTCTTGTTTTATGGGTATTTTTTTTTGTGCACATTTTATTGTGATTTTTTCTGGCTGATTGTTGTTATTTTTATTGTTTTTCTTGATGTAAACTTCAATGTAATTCTATATTTTAAAATTTTATGTGCTTTTTATTGTTTTTCTGGCTGTTTGATTGTTCGTTGGAATTTTATGGTATTTTATAATGTTAATAAATGTAATTCAGTTTTTTTACTGCGATTTGAATGAATAAAAATACTAAAATACTTGAATACTGTACTAGAATTAAATAATAAATGTTTTTGGTGAATGTAATCAGTGTAGAAGTGGGATGGTTAAATGCTTTAAATTTACAGTATATATAATTAGGAAGAAATATACATCTTATATCAAGGCAGTGGCAGGAGTGATAAAAAATAAAGAAAAGCTTTTTTTTTCCTGAAATTTCGAGTTTTTTGTGGCAGTGGGTGTGCTAATTGGCCAAAAATAACATTTTTTAAAAATTCGAAATCATCAATATTAGCGGGTGATGGGTTCGCGAAACAAGGTAAGCAAAAATTCTTGCCTAAAGAAAGATTAAAAATTTCAATAAAAAATTAACTTTAAGGGAAGATCTAGGGTGGGGAAGTGGGGGCTAGAGCCTCCCTCTGCCCCACAAAGAAAATAAAAGGGAGAGAAAATAGTATTGGAAGTGCTGAATGATACTGCTATAAAAGTTGTGTGATCTTATATTTAATGTTTTAGAATCAACTATGCCATTTGTTTCTGTAACTACTGCAATTCAAGGAGACAATGTATTTAATACCACTATTCACCATCTTCAGTATTCAACAAAAAAATAAAATTTTAGTACAGCATGAATAAACTTAAAGATATACGGTATACCGTACCTAAAATTTGGACTGTTATTATTATTACCAGAATTCCTTTATACACGAGAATGGGTTAAGAAAAAAATTATTGAGTTCTGTTTGTAAGTGGGAACAAGGCCAAAAAAAAAAAATCAAAAAAATCAGGAAAATATATGCCTAAGTTTTTGGATATGGAACTTGTTTTGGAATTTCCCACGCAATAAAAACCCTTATGATGTATTGTGACGTAGGGTGTCATATGCTCGATTATACTTTGTCAAAGCAAATCGAAACCATTGTTTTTGGATACAAGGTAAAATAAATACAGTAGTCTTTCAGTATACATCCACCATTCAAAGCACAGCTGCTGTCCTTGCATTAAATTTCCTGTTGTGACATCATAGCATAAACCATTATCTGAATAAGGGGTGTACCATACAGTGGACATTTACACTTACTGTACAGTACTTGCAATTGTTTTAATAGGGATGGGGATGATCTCTGTAAAAAGAATACTGAAATAGTTTTTTTGATAAATATATTTGAAAATGTTCCTGTTGGATACCCAACACTTTCTGGGTAACAATCTCCTCATCATTAATCACAACATACTGTGCCATATTATATAAGACATCCTGTTATTGACCTTTGGCTGTTGGATGTATCATGAAATAAATAAATAAATAATATTATTACCAGACTATGCCACCGTAATTAGCAGATACTGTGTTTTTGAGCAAGTCCGCTCAAAAGAATCTCTACGCCCTCATCTTGCATTAAATACATAAAAAAATATGTCTATTGTATTTACAAACTAGAATGCCTCGGCTCCAGGGATACTTTGCTTCTGACCACCACTGGAGCTCTCCCCCTGAACTCCCCAAGGTGTACCCGCCTGTTAGGAATCCTGCTACCAGGCCGAACTGCAAACCACTACCTTGCTGTGGAATAAACATACATAATTACAATGATGTGTATAATTTAAATCATACACTTTTTGAAATCTATTTATCTGTAAACAAACAAGTACTGCAAGCATAATATGCTGCTTCAAATCTCTCTTGTTCATGTGTGGCCCTAAAGAGGGCCTAGAAAAAAAAATATAACAAAACACAGTTGAAAGTAGAAGATTGGTTTGGTAGACTTGTGTTGTGGATCATCATAGACTGGTACTGTATAGGTGTCTTCGTAATTCATAACGATGGTCTGATAGCTGCTGGCCTTCATGTTGATTTACTTTCTCTGGATACGATCGTATTTGGGTTGTTTGATTAAATTTTATACAAACTTTTAAATATTTTGGCACATTTAAAATTTAATTTTGAATATTACGTAATTTTTGGCTTCCATGTAAAAT